TCGTGTTCACAAATAATCAAACTCAGGGCCAAAGCGATGGAAAAATAATTCGCAAACAAACATTCAAATCCGACAACAGTGGCATTTTGCCCGAGACTCGATGGTGACGTGAACGGATGTATGGACATTTAGCTTTACCGTACGGTTTTTAATTTGACAGCAGCAGCACCCTCCTCCCCCCGCCACTGTCACCATCACCATACTTCGCCAACCCAGCAAAAATGTGGATCGGTATTACGCAAAATATATCGTTCAGATTACTCATTCGATTTGTGCAAATAACAAAGTCCTTCAACCACTCAATACCCACCCATTCTTGCTAAATCCTATCCCACCCCTATCACAAACCTCGATAATGAATGTGTTCGAACCCCTTAGCTTCATTAAAATTTTGGACAAAACCTCAAAACGATCAGTTATTTTTTCGACCTTCTCTACGACGCAGTATACATAAACCATATCAGAGAAACTTTGTTGTTGTTAATGATGTTTTTACTCGTACGGTCATATACATTTATAGTGTTTTTTTTAACGCCTTCTCTTCGTTCGGTTTTTTTTAAATTTCATTGTCAGTCCTGAAAATAGTGTTTCAATGTCGTCATCGTACAACACCTATTGCCAAGCCAACGGCGAAGTTTTTATAATCACGTACAGACGTGACTTTTTATATCCAACTAGTCTTGTCGATTTTTCATCTCATTATTATAATTGTTTTTATCTATCAAAAGGACATGACGTGATTAAATGAATACGACAAAGAAGCACTAGCGGCGTGTCTAAAGGTCGATCAGGACTATAATATCTTTAAATACATCAACCAATCTTACTTAATATATTTTTAAATAATATTTTTTTTTAACAGTTGTTTTAATGTTTAAGTTTTAGATAGTCTCATGTTTTAAAATTGTTTTATTATATTAACTAACATAAATTTAAATGTTATTCTCTCACTATCCATGTGTTTTTTCAAAACATTTTCCCCAATCACTTAAATTTGATTTATATTCTTTTTGATATATTTATAGATAATTTAAATTAAAAAATCGTTCAGTTTACTTAAAAAGGTATTAATTATTCTAAAGAATCGGACCAGAAAAGAGCATGCTCATTTACAAAATGATTCATAAAATATTTTGTAATACAAGGAATTTCGTATTTTTATAAATATGATTGTAGTTTTGTTGTACTAAATAAAACTAAATTACGTAAAAATCTCATCATTTTATGAAAAATTGCATGTAGATTATTTTCGCAATGCCCCAATATTACGGAAGACAGGGACAAATTTATATTTTAATTTTCATTAAACAATTTTTTTTTTATCATTATATATATTTTAATGTGATAGGACTTTACCGATTTAAGAATAAACTTAATAATTTAAAACCTAACATATTCAAGTACGATTAGTAATAATGTAACAAACTCGTTATGTAACAGTTATAAATTTAATATAATACTTTGTGTTAGTAGATGTACATCAGTGGTTCTCAATAATTTATACTTCGTGTATTCTGTTTACAATTAATCAAATAGTTATTCTACTTAAAATATTGTACTGATACAAATAAATTTAACTACTTATAAATAGTAAACTGACGAAACTTTTAACATTCATTTTGTACTTAATCAGTTATAATTTCCAAAATTAATTTTATTTTTTGACTGTATTTTGAATTACTATAATTATTTAAATTTAAGTGATAAAAAAAAAAAAAAACATTTTGAATACAATTAAAATTAAAACTATCACGTACAGATCTATTACAATTAAAAAAAAATGTTTACATTAATTATTCGAAATCTATATATATTAAGTACTGAGAATTGTTTACTTCAAAGCGTATGTAAAGCGGATTGAATTAAATTAAAACATCATTATGTAGTATTATATATAACTTAAATTTCTGTGTATAATTTATAAGGTCGTCCGTGAAAAGTAAATAATTGCAAAGTTGAGTAACAGACCCAATATCGCTGTTGAGTAATATAAACATAAGCCTGAGATAAATTACCTCGTTGCCAAGCACCGGAAGTAACTTCAAACCAACTCGAAATATTTCCGACTCTGATTTGTACATGCCTGCACCGAGTGAGATTTGTAACTACAACAACAGCTATAGCGTTCACTAATACAAATAAAAACCTTAAATACATAGCGTAGAAAATGGAGATTAGTGATGTGAAATTCTTACACAAATTACTATGTGATCAATCCTCATGAACCAAGTCGACCATTATATTAAAATTTTCCGAGACCACTTTAGCATGTTACTACATTAAGTGGACCGATGCTATTTTTTATTCATAGGTTTATGTTTCTACAACCAATATTTTGTTGTCGGCCTACACATTTTTAATCCGATAAAATACTCAGTAAACATTTAAATATTGTCGCTGCGTGTATTTTTTTTCAACGTACAATCGTTGATAGAATTAAACATCATTTTGACGATAGATGATCTGATTAAATGAATAATTTTATCCACAGAAGCGTTAAGTTTCAAATAAAAATATGCACCAAAGCATTAACAGCAAGCTAGTAAAGTTATTAATTTTCACCGCATGTGTACTTAATCAGGGAAATTTGGTACGGAGAAATTTAAAAGCAGACTCCCTGAATAAACAATAAAACTAAATACCAGTGATTTCTTGGAAATTTTCAGTAATTCATAATGTTCTCAGAGTGCATTTAAGTCTTGTGTTGGTAATTATACTCGTATGATTGGATTTTTGTTTTGTAAACACTCCTAAAGTTTACGAGGATTAATATTTACACAACTTATCTCTACGACCCATGTACGAAGAATATATGTGAACGGCTGTAAGATTGAGACATCCCAATTAAATTGAGATTTATGTTTTTCGAAAATACTTGGCGTATCAGCGTATACGTGGTATGTACACAATTTTTATAATTTGCGAATGTCTCTATAATCCATAATATCACAATATATCGAAATATATTCAAATTTATTAAAATAATAAGAATTTACGTCGGAAATCGTAACAATACGAGATTTAATCAGTCGTCTCGTGGTAAGACACGCACACTATGTATATGATAAAACTAGTGACATCGAATAAAACCATCCATACAATGTCATTTTTGTTTCGGTAACGATTAAGGTTCAGTTGGTTTCTTCTTCTATATTTCTTATTCAACCGTCAAGCAAATACCAGTTTGCGGTAAAATTTAAAAAAAATATATTTATGCCTTACAAATTTCTATTCGAGAACGTCGTATTTTCTTACTTTTGTATACATAATAATATATTAAACGAGTTACATACTTGTACGCAACCACGTGTATTAAATTTAATCCTGGTCGGAAACGTAATACAAAATCATTATTATAAATCCCAGAAGCTCGAAACCAATCATGAATTATTATGGTTTTAGGATATGAGCGCTAATTTTTATATAATACGTATATACACATGCGGCGCACTCCATGACAACAATACTACCACCGTTCACACACTAAAGCGGTTCTGCGAATTACGTAACCGTAAATTGAATTCCGTAAATACAGAAACATGCTGACGTAGTCGTTTCTTGATATCAATCAAATAATAAACTTTAAGTGTACATTTGTAGAAAACGTCTGAACAGCGAGTACTGCGGTGGCATTTAACCCGCCTAGGCGTTTAACCGATTTAATTGTATATAAATATTGTACCTAGGTTCTGTCGTACAGAATTCGTTCGATCAAATATACCGACATGCGTAAGTTGAGGCAGAATGGTTAAATTGAATTCATTTGTTATGTTATTGTAAACTATAACATCCACTAAGCATTATTGCAATAAACTTTCTTCTCTCAGTTGTAATATTGGCATGTAGTTATTGATGTGAATTTTTAACGTACCTAACAATGTAAGTGCTTACTTAATTACGATTGTAAATTATATAAAGGGAAAACGCTTATAAGTCAATGGTGTAACAAAATTATCAATATTAAACGTCATATCACTTTATTATTAATTAACTACCAAAATTTATCAAACATATATATCTTATTTATGAAGAACGTGCATTGAGTGTGCCTAAATATGTTATTGTCTTGGAATTAAGTGTTTGATTATAAATGACGATAAAATAGATTGTTGGTTTTTGTGATCATGCTTTTTTTCATGTTGTAATGAATTGTACAAATATTAAAATTCTAAATTAAGTTTTTTTACTGCTTAAACAAAATACCACTTTTTTTTTGGACCCAAAAAAGTTGTTTATGATGTAAGAGATCTGAGTGATTCCATAACAAACATTGTAAATTTTTTCTGTATATTTTGTAGCATAATATAATATGATAAAATATCATGTACACTTGATTGTTTATGTATATTTAAAATAAATTAAAAGTGCTTTTTATATTTAAATAAAAATAAAATAGAGTTTAGCCTCTGAATCGAAGTTACTAATTAAAATATTGTACACGTCGCCGGCATAAAACTTTTTCAAAACATTATAGTAAATTAATCAAATTCCTCTGGTTCGTTTGTTTCATTATGCATTTTATATATACGCCTACGATAAACCGGAATCGAAGGCTTAAAGTATTATGTTTCGTATAAAGTAATTAAAAAAAATAAAAATAAATTGATTATTAGTCGCTCCCATAAACTTATATTCATTAACAATATATCCGTAACGATAGTTTGAAACAATAGTCACCGTCAGCAATTAAAGGATTTGTGAATAAGCTGGCAACATTATTTGTGGCTACGCAGCAGGATTTGGAATCACGTAGTATATAATGTATTGAATGATTCGCTAAGGTTAACTTGATTATATTTTCGTTAGATGGACAAAAAAAAAAAAACATAGGTATAATCGTGTATAATAAAATGTATTGCACGTCTTATTATATTCCGTGACGTCGCCGATCGCGTGGTATGGTAATAACATTGTTATTGTATATTTATTTTTGTAGTGAACATCCAGGAATCACGAAAAACCCTATTTATATTTTTTTCTTTTTTTTTTTCGTTTTGTAGGGGCAGTGGGCGATGGCGGTGAATCAGCCGAGGACAAAGAGAAAAACGCAGAAGCAGAGAGGGAACGGTTGGAGGCGATCCGGGAGGCCGAGGAAAGACGCAAAGAGAAACACCGCAAGATGGAAGAAGAACGGGAGAAAATGAGACAAGAAATCCGAGATAAGGTAAAATAATGACGTTAAACCATCTATATATGTATATATATATATATATATATATATACATTTATATTTAAGTTTGGTTGGTCGTGGGGTGCCAGAGAGTGATACTGCAATAAAATTATCCTCTGACCTACGGCGGCTTGGTTGTAGAGCTACCATCGCCGCTATGGCGGGTGTATGAAACTTGGAAGGTTTGACAGCAGTAGGTAGTTTTTTTTTCCTTTTTTATTTTATCCATCGTATCATTCAGATAATAATATAATAATAATAATAACAACTACAGCAACAATGATGACAATAACCGAAATAATACCCTATGACAGAGTTAAGATAATCAAAGCGCATGTGGATTACTCACATACAATTTTCTCGGAAAACGTGAAGAACGTATATAAATATAAATAAAATACATTAACTGCGAATTTGTTTATTTTAATATTGCACTGCACACTTTATATAAGATATGATAATGACAAATTTAGCTTAACAGCCTCATTGAAAGAGTGTCGTTCAATTTACGTCTTAATCTTTAATTCTTGATAAATTATTTTTCACAAAACTTATGCAACATAACTAAAAAAAACGCTAAAGATATTCGTTTACACTTATAAACACGTTTTACAATATTATTCTGTTTACATTATAATTTGACGGTCGTTATATTTTTTTGCATTATACACATTCTCACATAAAATAAAATCTCATCCACTAATCCCGTCATGAGATTATCACGATTGTTAAAATCTAAATAATAATTATAAATGATTTTATCTCAAACGTCAAGTTCAACGAACATTTTTTTTTATTTGTGTCACACCTAATAAACTTTCATTGGGTCGAAAAAAACGCACTCGCTCTACATACTCGTTTTTTAAGCCGTTCATTTTTTGTGCGAATTTATCTCTGAAAACAAAAACAGACTTCACGTCTCGGAGTCCTTATATATAAATATAATATATTTAAACTTTTTTTTATCGTTTCGTGATTTAGAGGTTTGGGTTAAGGGAGAGGGAAAAAAACTAATTATAATCCACAGCGAGCTTTTATTGTCCCAACAATTTGAATAACTTGGTTTTATCTCTATACCACCCCAACGCACCAATTACGTTATACTTATACTTTTATATTATATATTATATGTTTGTGTGTGTGTGTGTGTATGTGTGTGTGTATTGTACGTTATACAATAATATACGACGAAACTATTACTCTCCAAAGTTTTAATTGAGTTTGTCGTGCACTAGAGTTCACTGATTGTCGCATCACATTTTGAGATTTTTACAACCGTCACCATTACTAGTATACATTTAATTACATAATATCTATGTTACACATAATACAACTATTGTTATAATTAAGGCCAGAAATCGTATGCTAAAAACATTACAAGCTATATACACATATTTATGCATAAAATACATGAAATTAACGCAAAAAACATTGCAAAAATGCAGAAATATATTATTTCGATAATAAATAGATACTTAAAAAAATTCAATATAAAATACAAATGTAGAAATCAAAAATAATTTCTATCATACGCTTGTATTATTTTTAAGAAATTGATTCATTATAAGTTATGAAAAATTGATTATTTTACAATTATATCTGTAAGATCATTATTAAAACATCATTTAATTCACAATAAGGTTTAAGTATGTGAACTATTAAGTATTCAGTATAATTTTATATTATATAATTCACTATCTATGCTTTAACAATATTAAAACAAATACAATTATTCTAACTTCTAAATTAATACCCAACGAATACGATTTTATATAATGGGTATCTACATTTTCAAATTTAAAAGTCTGTGGTTGTAATTGAGCAAAGTATTATAACATTCCGCAAAAGTCCTTAATGTATTTATAAAATGTTTATAAAAAATGCTTGTATTAAATATGCAACTCTTATGCAGAAATATGCGATGAACATGTTTTTTACTTGTTATGTAGCAAATCAACATTATGTAGGTAATATATAGCTATTTTATTTGAATTATACCAAATAAAATATGTATACAAAAATAATACTTTCATATAAATCCTGGGCACATAATAATTAAACAATAATATAACTTGACAATATCCAATTCGTATAACCATTTTTAATTTTTTGCCTAACACACTTTGGTTTCAACTATTCAGGAGTTCAATTTTGCGATATGGTCTTTTCCTACCTCCGGCTCTGAAGCAATGTAACGTTAACAATGTAATATGGTATCTGAAGTTCATTGTAATAATATCTCTTAGTGGCTTTAAGAATTAAACGTTATAATAGGTAATTATAATGATAGGAATGATAATATTTCGTCTCAAAAACGAGTGTCTTGGTTGTGCGAAATTGTCACATTACTTGTTTATAGCTCTTTAGATTATTGTATTGTGCGTTTAATATATAATGACGCAGTTTATTTTGCAGCCCGCTAACCATCGATATTATTGTCCATAACTACAATAGGTGCATGCGGTGCAAAAGGAAACTTTTTCTCCCCTGGCGTTTTTCCTAAAGTTATATAAAACTGCGTCGGCCATTCTCGTTCTCATAAAATATTATGATGCTGTATTATTCACTACAATTTTCGCAGACGTTCTTTCCGCAATTATTCCTTTCTGGTCTTGTCCCAAAATTGTACACATCGAATATTTGGGGGAGACAAACTTATGCACTTTAAAAAGTAGGTTTATATAATTTTACTTTTCTACTTTTTTCTTTTAACTTTTTATTATGAGTTAAAACTGTAAAGTATACTGCTTTTTAAACTTTTATAATTATTTGAACGAAAATTCAATAAAAATGGGCTAAATGCATAATCATACAACCGAATGATTTATGATTTATATCTGTTTTCATTTAAATTAACTCTTACAGACATCAGAGTAATTTGAAATTTTAAAAAATTTCTTTGTAAAATATAAATTATTTTGCTAAAGTTTTACGAAAAATACGTTATTAAATACATTTTTATTTTGTCATTAAATGTAAATGACATTTTATTTTTATTTTTATTTTTGCACTTAATTGATTTTAGCTAAACTATATTTTTTTAATTAATTTTTCTCCTTTTTTTCGATTCGATAAATATAATTAAAACTGAAATTAATTAATGCAATATTTTTAATAGTATTATTTTTACTTAAGGTGGATTAAGTTTTTTTTTTTATGTATATACAATACAAATAACACAAATCGTTATACTAATTTATTGTAATTTGTTTTAAAGTTAAACTTCATCATGGCAAATTACCACTGAATATCTTTTTTTTATTTTTTTTTTATTATTATACGTTATTTATAATTTCAAATTTATTTTTCCCACCATGATGTTATTAGTTTATTATTATTTTTATGTGAAGTTAATACTAACACTTAAAATTTGATTAAGGTTACCAAAGAAAATATCAGGTTGCTTGATATTACTATCATGTAAAAAGTTTTATTCTAAACTAACAGGTTCCTTACCGTTATGATCCAGTGTTCTTTATTTTTAATATTTAATATCTTGCTTAAAGAAAATATAATATTATAAAACATTTCTTAATATTAAATAAATTATCCATAATATTATATAATAAAATATATGTATAATCGATCATTGTTGAGACTGCTTAAAATAAAAACTTCTTGTCTAAATAAATATCAGCTGAGCTATTATTATATTATTACATAGTTATATTTACTCTATATACATTATATTATTTGATTTTATTTTTACTTTGAGTTTTATATTTAAAAAAAATCAAACTAAAAAACCGTATACGTTATTACAATAGTCAATTATTAGTTAATATCAAAGATTCATAAAGACTGTTGCATTCGCAGAACAGGAAACCTAAAAAATTAACAACTGTCACTAATTATATAAATTCATTCCCTGACGCTAGTTGCAATCACACTATGTATTATGTATAGAGTTCAGTCATTATGTATATAAACAAAAATCATATGTGATTACGTTACACTGTCAATTTATAATATTTTACATGTCGATAAACGTTTATCGTCCTATAATTACTTGGCTTGAGACGGTATGTCCTTGGTCGAACGTTTGAATTTTAGTAATTGAAATACTAGAATAATGATTTTCAGTATTACGTCTGATTCTGTATTATACTCAAATTTCGTAAAGCATTAATACTGTATCACCTAGACTTAAAGAGACGGGCCAACACAGGCGGTGGTGTTTGGACACAACCAGGTGTAAGCGTATGGTCCTATCGTTACATTGATTGGAATAGTTTCGCTAACTACACAAGATTGGACGGAGCCAACCGCCATCCCACCAGCGTGTGATTTATGAAAGCCGTTATATTTCCGGAAAGATAGGGAAAGATTTAATATAAGACGGCGGTCGCGGACATGGTCAACGCACTATGTCATTACGTCAACTGAAAAGTTCTAGCTGGTACCGCAACTCGTTTCGAATGCGTTGTTGCAGTCTTCCCCGCTACTCTTCGTATATTTGTCGTTGTCTGAAAACACAGGTCAACCGACTAACCGATTCGGAGCATTTGATTGGTCGACGAGGATGAGCTTGTCAGTCTTTGCTGCTTAACACTCGTGAGCGGCTTCGTACCGGTGGCTTTTACGATGATCGCGGTCTGGGTGTCTGTATTGGAAACTAAATCTTTAGATTTTTCAGTTGTAGTATTGCCGTATTGATTGAACCATTGAAGGTTTGAGAACTTATGTCGCAATTATGTTTTTTCGGTAAAATTGCATTGGTTGTTTTATATAGTGTTTCGTATCTATACTAGTGAACGTAACACACTCGTTAGGCTTGCGTTTTATGTTTCTTCTATATCCCGATTATTAGGTATGCTGTGAGGTTGGCTGTGGTTTTACCTTTTTACTCGGAGCCTCTGATTTCTGGAAGTTTTGCTCATGTGTTTGTTTATCAAACGTACGGGTGATTGTTAAATAACCCGTTAAGTCTGTTCATACAAACATTGTGCATGTGCATGCATCGTGTTTGCCTGCACACTTGACGTGACTGCGCT